TGTCCCCTCGGGGCCTTCCAGCGCGGCCAATGGGGCCTCGAGTTCCCGCCACGCGCGAGCCGGCCCTTCCCCTCGGCGGCCGCGCGGCCCACCAGCCCCACGCCGCGGCAGCGTGGGACGCCGGGAGGACGCCACCTTCCCGCGGCTTCCCCGCACCACCGACCTCAGACCGGGAAGCGCTGGCGGCAGGGGAGCTCTAAGCGCTGCAAAGGACGGAACCCACCGAGGTGGCGTACACCGATGCGTGCATTTCAGCATGGCCAGCGCGCGGGGACTCCGAATGCATAAAGTGCGCGTTAGGCAATGCAAAGTCCATCCTTGAGAACAAAGGGCCTAAATCTATCATCTCTACTAACGTCTGAATTGCTCGTCTCTCCAAATAAAAATGATGGTGATGGCGGAGGTAAAATATCCTGGGTCAACAAGTTCACCTTTTAGGCCATAGCATTTTATATCGTTTTAAATAGACTCTTTTAAGCCAGTATTTCACTCAGGACAATCTACTCAAGGTTGGAATGAGAACGGAGGTGTCTGGAAGGAGGGAATCACGAGAATATAAATACAATCCTGAGTGGTGGCTCAACCAGCTGGTGACATATTAGCCACTGAAGAGAAATAAACCTCATCCAAGATGGGATAGAATTCTATAAACTCCATAAGAATAAATCCCTATGCAACCAATAAGAATATAACAGGAGCTGTGCTGATAAAAACGGGTCCATTTAAAAAATGGAAGTTGTTAAGAAGTGGTACAATGTTTTAGTCATTTTTCATGGTCAAAGGAAAAATAAGTATAAAGTTTTCTTAGAAATTAAAATGAATAAAAAGACCCAACAAAGCAGCACTAATATAGAGATTTTATTTAAACTGTATTGAATTTTTACAGCACATTGCATGTTTGTCACAACGCAACTGCACAGTTTGGATTTTTGGCCACATCATGTCACTTACACCCACAAGAGCTCTGAAAGGAGTATTTGATGAATACATCTGAGCCGAGAGCCCAGAGTCTCTCTCCAAGGCCATGCAGTTTGTTCACTGATGGGACAGTCCCTCAAAACAGCCACACAAAGTAGACAGATACAGTCTCCCCAAATGTTACCAATCTTACTCCCCCTGAAAACAGGCATAGTGAAGTGCAATGAAAGTCAAGTTACTTAAAAAGCCACCCACAACTGGCAGTAAATTTTAATGATTGAGAAAATGCTTAAAAGAATTTTACGTATCAGAGACAAGGAATAGTTTGTTACTTTTTCAGTGATCTCAGGAATTTCCCAGATACAAAATCTCCATTATTCAACTCCATTTAAATGAAAAAAAGGTTCTGCTAGGCTGACCTAAATACACCAAAACTTTTTAGGTTACATCCATGGCAAGTATAAAAGCAGCACAGATGCTTCTCTGTAGGACTGAAGAAAAGGTCAGGACAAATAACAATTCTTGTTCTAAATGCAGATCCTAGTTATTTTGGAATGAAAAAAAATTTTTTTTTCTAGAAAGCAACATGAAAGTAGCAGTGAGAAAGATGACTACCATAGTTTTAAAACAAGTTAAGCCTAAATGTTATTTACCTTTTATACACCAACAAATTAAAGAGAATGTATAAAGGAAGTCCTAATGGTTTCATTATAGGCCAAGAAGACTGTATCTGTCCCAACCACAATACATGGCTATATCACGGTATCTTTTGGTTAAGTGCCACTGGTACATATTAAGATGATAAAACAAAATCGAAACCAAAATAATAATAACAACATTTGGTCCAAATGGACACATTTCCTCTCCCAATTTTGGTATCAAGGCTCTATTCTCTTCTGTTTGGGTTCCATTGTTAAGTGCACAGAAATAGACAGCAGCATTTGTACTGAAACCCTCACATACCAAACAGCATATTCTAGGAGGTAAAAACCAAATGCTAAATTCTACCCTCAAGGTGTCAAGTGTTCAGGATAAGAAGCAGTGTGACCCAGAGGAGGCAGCAGCCAAGGGAAAGACAACATGGGGGAAGTGGGCAATGGAACAACACCAACAAAAACCTTTGTTTTATTTTCATGCCAGGACAGGATTAAGGTGTAGTTCCTGTGTTAGCACCAGGACAACTAGGAAAAGTCAGGCGCAAAGGGTAGGGCACAATCAGCAGATAGTTCACAAGGATAATTTTTCCTTTTCCCTTCTCATTCTTTGCAATGCATACTTCAAGAGCTGCCAATGTGTAACAGAGATGACTACCTTCGCAGATCAGAACAACTGATTTCAGCCAGGACTTCACATCAGCAGAGTTTTCCTCAGCTCCCCAAAATGTCTCACTCCCTAAAATTGTCCCCTTAAACTGAATACTCACTGATGCTAGCCAATGAGCCAAGTGAAAAATACACCAAAACCTCCACTTGCTGAACCAGTCTTTAAACCAAACCCCACAGAAAGACAGTACTAATGCAACTAGAGAGAGTGCCTCTAAAGACTGAGCCTTCATGCACAGACACAGAGCACAGAGGTACAGGATATAGTTCATCTCAAATAGGATAGGAATTCCTACCTTTTATACTATAATCTGCTTTTTTCAATGGAGGAGAGATGGGTCTGGTTATCATTTGGAGTTTGGTTACACATATGCCTTTCTATTGCTGTTTGGGGCACTTTGAACCAGGCAGTATCTATGAAATCATCTTGTGACCCCCAGGAGAAAGAAGCTGGAGTCACTAACTCAACAGTAAGCTTATAGACCCTGGGTCTGAATCAGGACCATTACCCCAAAGTTAGGGTCTCACCAGTAGAGAACCTCCTGCCTAATTGGAATTCCTCTGTTCCAGTCTCATGGTACCAAGGAGGATTTCTCAAGACAGTATCTTTGAGCTCTCTGATTTCATTAGCCACACCAAGGAACCTTCCAAACTACACCTGAAGCAGATCCTCCCTTCAAACCTGCTAAAATTGGACAAGTCATCTCCTCTGGCATTCAACTGGAAGCTGTAGCAATGGGTTTCTTCAGATGTTGGCTCATGAGTTCCCTGGCACGAGATACTTGAATGTGTTCATAACATGAGTTACAGACGAGAACTGGGTCATAGAGTTGTTGATCAGGAATGGGCAGCTTCAGGTGACAGCATCCAGCACAGAATACATTCCCACAATTTCTGCCAAAGCACAAAGAGGGAAGAGTTCATCAGAAATGCCAATATACTGGGCCGAGCCCATGGCGCACTCGGGAGGGTGCGGCGCTGGGAACGCAGCAGCGCTCCCGCTGCGGGTTCATATCCTATATAGGGATGGCCCGTGTGCTCACTGGCTGAGCGCAGTGTGGCCAGTCTCAAAAAGGACAAAAAAAAAAAAAAAGAAATGCCAATATACTGAGAATGAATGATAGTCTAAAAGGCTTTCCATAAGTAAATGAAGAGAAAAGTTGGGAGCAAACAAAAATAGTTCCCATAAAGACATCTCCATTTTCAGATTAATTCAGTTAATTCATATGTACTGCACTGCTTTATGAGTCATATTGAGTCATACAAAATATCTTACCTGCAATGGTGTCTTCGTTTGGCCAACCAGAATTCACAGTCACAGTTATAGCAGTGTGATGCCATATGGTCTGGAACCCAGCGAGTCACCTAAGAGAAGACACAAAGAAAAACTCCAGGTCCTTGTCAATGGAGTGGAAAAGCAACATTGCAACAAGGAAAGCATCGCAGGAGAAATGACAAGGCTGATCTTTATAACACCCACTACTTGCCTATAAAGACAACACTCAACTGGGGAAGAGCTCAGTTATCTCTGAGAAATATGAAACTTACTCGCTTGCACAAGTACCCAGCACATTCTGGCCTGGACATACCTCTGTTTCTTTCTTATCAACAGGTTCCCAGCTTGCTTCTGAAAGGCAGTCTTCACTGTGATCAGAGCCAAAATCCTCTGTATCACTGTCATCTGACTCCTTCAAACATGTCTGAAGGAAAGGAAAAGACATCAACATCATCTTCATCATTGCTAACACTTATTGTTTA